TGTGCATAGCAAATGTCTTACAAACAGCTATGGAGCGAGTGACCAATTTTATCTGAGGGATTTGTTGGCCAGGACACCAGGAGAGAGACACATTTTCTGCCCCTGACTGCGATCAGTAAATCAACGCAGAGCAAGATTCAAACATGGGACCTCTCTGTATGGCCTGGTGGCACACAAGGTAGGGCCTTTAGTCAGAGAGTGATCAACATGTGCTGCACCCTGAAACCGAAAGAGAAACAAACCTTTCAAGTGACAGCGTGGCTTGGTTGGCAATGCTCTTGCTTCTGAGTCAGAGATTTGTGGATTCAAAATGGCAGGACCTGAGCACACAGTCCAGGTTGACACCCAGTGCAGTGTTGATGAGAGCTTCTTCTTGTTTCTCTGTTGGTTTTAGGGTGCGGTACATGTTGGTCAACAATAGGACATCCATCCTGTGCAGCTCTTGGTCAAAGCCATTCAGCACAATCCCAGGTAAGGCTGTGGTGGTGGTTTCACATCTCATCTTCCAGCTTCAATTAGTTACCAGCTGATGATCTGAACTTGTACAAAATTAACCAATAGAATAATGGTAGGGCCAATTCTGAGAGCCTCCAGTGATGGTGTAGTTTTCAGTTTCCAAGATAAATGGCTGCAACGTTCTTGGTCCCAATCCATACTTTCCACTCATTTGAGTTTCTGCCACTGGATTGACTAATAATAATAATCCTTGCATTTGATATAGCGCTTTTCACATCTTCTAGACGTCCCAAAGCGCTTCACAGAATATACTGTAAAGTGAATTGACTGTATATTTGTGGGCGAACACGGCAGCCAATTGCACACAGTAATGTCCCACAAACAGTCATGGATTGAAAATGACCAATTTATTATTGTTTTTGGTTTTGGAGGGATTATTATTAGGCTCTGTGTGGAGTAAGGAAACTTGCCCAAGGTTTCGCCCTCTGCCTGGAATTGAACTCAGGTCTCTCACTTGCAAAGCGAGTGCTCTAACCACTGAGCTACAGGACTCTACACGACTAAGTATTAAGTGAATGTTATGGTTGGATTTACTATTGACTGAGAGTTGGATATTCTGTTGGCCAAGTAATAATAATAAATAATAATCCTTGCATTTGGTACAGTGCCTTATTACATCTTCGAGACATCTCAAAGAGCTTCACAGAATATACTGTAAAGTGAATTGACTGTATATTTTGTGGGCGAAATAGAACACTGATTAGAGTGGGTCACCATTGGCTGAGGGTTAGGTACAATATTGGCTGATGGTTGGGTATATTATTGGTGAGTGAGTGTGAGTTATTGTCTCCTGTTTCGTTCCAGTTATCCCTTTCTGGCACATTCAGAGTCAAAGTAGAGGCTACTCGCCTGGGGAGTGTGAGATCATGGCTCTGCCTGTCCTCTTGTTCCTGTTGTTGATCTCCCTCCTGGGCATCGGGCACTGGAGATGCACAAGGTCAGTTACCTTGGGTTAGAGACACGGCAAGAAGCAAGTGCATAATGGGGAGGGACATTCATGTATATGTTTTGGGAAGTGCAGAGGGTGACATGTATGTGGATCAGGCAATAGGAGGGGACGTGTGTGGTTGGGACAGTGGCAAAGAGGAATGTGCTTGTGAATAATAATAACCCTGCATTTCATATAGTCTCTATCATGTCTCAAAGTGCTTCACAGAATTTTCTGCAAAGTGTAGCGACTGTGTAGTTGTAGGTGAATGTATCAATCAATTTGCAATAGCAATGTCCTACAAACAGTCAGGAAGTGAATGGCCAATTTTTTTTTTAATCTGGCGGATTGTTTGCCAGGAAAAAAAAAGCTCCCTTCTCTATTCAAATAGTGTTATATAGGGTTCTTCAATATCCACCTGAGCAGGCAGCCAAATTTAATGTCTAATCCATAGGACGGCACCTTTAACAACAGTGCTCCCATGGCTCTACACTGAAATCTCACTCATATTGTGAAGAGGTTCATCTGTGATTGTGACTGTGATTGACGGGGTGGGGTGGGGGGATTGAACTCACAATCTTCTGACTCAGATGCGAGGCTGGTACCAAATGAGTCAAACTGATACCAAGTTGGATCATGCAGTGGAAAGCGGCCACTGCCATGAAGGAGATATAATGTCAGCAGTGGACCGGGGAGTATCTGACACAGGCTTGTCCCTGTGTTATGGCTCTGGGGGCTAATATTCATCTACTTTGCTGTGGGTAATTAGAATTGCCTCAGCCTCTCACTGTTCTGTTTTCTCCAATACTCAGGACTGACCAGCCCCTCAAGGTCAGGATAACATTCACTGCCTCAAGCCTGAAGCTCTCAGAATCAGCTCTGTCACTCGGGGGACAACACAATGAAGGGCTGAGTACAACAGGAACTGTGTAATGCAACCCCTCCCCTCCCCTCTGTACCTGAAGTCTTCAATCCTCAGCCAACTTCACGCTCTTCCCTTCTATTTCTTGGAGGAGTGATGGCTGATTCACAAAGGGTCTGTGAGCCCCGAGGATCCTTGAGATTAGCTCCCCATTCTCTTAAGCAATGGTGATGGGTTGACTGACCAAAAAACCTGGAGGCAAAAGGTCTCCAAACCAGAATACAGAAAGGAGGTCAGAAAGGCTCACCAGCTGAGCAAGTAAACGTGTTTCACACCTGGAAAGAGATGCAACATAGGCAATGCAACAGCCAGCAGGGAAACAGCAGCATGGCAGGCAGGCTCCATTATCCCTGGGTTCAACATTGCTGGTCACTTTGTGTGCATAACATGTGCTACTTGCTGCTGGGACACTAGCCCTAACATGGATTGGGTTCGGGGCTGTCCGGTGGGGGAATGGTGCAGTGGGAGGAGCTCGCTATCATGGAATCATAGAACCTTACAGCACAGAAGGAGGCCATTTGGTCCATTGCACCTGTGCCGGCTTTTGAAAGAGCTATCCAACTAGTCCCACCACTCCCACCCTCGCTCTTTCCCCATAGCCTTGCAAATGTTTTCCTTTTCAAGTGTAAATCCAATTCCCTTATTCCAGTTTGTAACAACTCTCAGGGGTGAAAATATTTGGACTCATTATGCAGCTGAAAGGGTGCGTGTGGTTGTGCGAGAGAGAGAGAGAGGAATCCTCAACGGCAAGGTCAGCGCACCTGCAAACATCTGCAAACGTTGTAGTCCCAGGCTCGTATCCACAGCCACATTAATCAGCATCACGTTTCATACATTTACACATCTTTAGTCCCCAAGTGCAGGTTGGGTTTGGGAGTGAGGATGGCCCTGTCTGTGTCCACGCTGCTCCCCTGCCCTGGGTACAAAGTGACTATCCCGACTCTCGTGTGCTGACATGCTTGTGGGGCCACCCCTCAGTCCCACTCTTCCTTGAGCATTGACGTCCCCAGCCTTTTTTTTTCCTCCCCTCAAGACCGAGTCTTGGGTTGGGAAACCCTTCCACATGTGGATTATTCATGTGTGAGCCCTAACAGTGAATATTAGTGAGATATTTGACTGCACAGGAATCACATTTTCGTCCTCCTTAACTCGGGGGCATTGAGGTCAACTGTAACCCTGACTGAGATTAGCAACCCAGCACCGGATGGAACCTGGGCTGTTCTGCTCGATATGATTTATCCCTGAAGCTGGAATAGGAACAGGAGTAGTCCAATCAGTCCCTCGAGCCTGTTCCATCGTTCTATAAGATCACGGCTGATGTGTACCTCAACTCCAATTACCCACGCTTGCCCTATATCCCTTGATACACTTCCCTAACAAATATCTATCCACCTCAGTCTTGAAAATGTGAATGGATCCAGCATCCACAGCCTTTTCGGGCATAGAATTCCAGATTTACACTACCCTTTTTGTGAGAAAACGTGGCTGTAAAGTGCTTCTGATGTTCAAGGTACAGAAATCAAACCAATCACAATAAATACTCCCCACTGATTTAAGACCTTTTCTTGTTTGTACCTTTTGTGCCGGCTTCATTCCTGACACTAAATAAATGTTACGAAACGTTTCATCCACTAAATATACAATCATTTCACTTCCCTGTGAAGCGCTTTGAGACGTCTCAAAGACATAAGGCGCTATATCAAATGCAAGCATTATTATTATTGACCCTCGCCTGACACACCAACCCCGTGGAGTGAAGATTGAGACACAGCCTCAATGATTTCAACAACAACAAATTACATTTATGTAGAATGCCTTTCACGTCAGAAGGACGTCCCAAGGTACTGGACAGCTAAGGGTTTGCACCCGAGCTAAGGGCTGGAACCAAAAGGGATTCAAATTTTAAAAAGTTAAAGTTTAAAAAATATGTATGGTTTTATATTTAATTTAAAAGAGTTAGCATAAAATCCCAGAACACCATTCACTGCAGCAGCAACATGGTTCCAACTCACTAAATCAGAAACCCAGCCTTTATAATAATAATCCTCGCATTTGATATCACATCTTCACAACGTCTCAAAGCGTTTCACAGAATATACACTAAAGTGAATTGAATTGTATTTTGTGGGCAAAAACATAGGGAAAACATCCCAAGTAATAGCAGAGGACAGCAAATAGCACAGGGACATTAAAAAATGTTTTTCCTTTATACAGACCAAATATAATAACAATAATCCTTGCATCTAATAAAACATCTAGAGCAGCAATTCATGTTTAAGAATAGAAAATGTGCATTTCTAGGCAAATTCAGTGACCAATTTGAGCACATTTGCTTCTGGCAAACCACTGAAGGTTAATGGTCAATTTATTCTGGAGGATTGTTGACCAGGTCACAGGGAGAAACTCCCTTCTTGTCCCAAATTGTGTCATATTCACCTGAAGAAATAGACAGGACCTTGGTTTGTCTGTTTACAGTCTCATCCGAAGTATGGCACCTTCAACTCCAGCAGAGGTTCCCCCAACACTTCAGAGGACTGTCAGTATTGCGAATGAACATGGAGCTTCAACTCACAGCCTTTTGACCCAGAGACAAGAGTACCACCAATTGAGCTAAAATGAATCACAGAGCAAAGCTAAAAAGATAACCCTGTCCATCTTTAATTATTATTTAGAAATTCCAAGGTGATTAAATAGCACTGACATTTACCAGGGCTGAGCCTCTGCTAGGGCTAGAATGGTGGGTTAGTAAGTGACGGAGACCGACTGGGGAGAAACTGATCACAATCATAAAGCGCCTTTTAATTGCAGAGCGCGCAGGTTGTTTCTGCTGCCTTTCATACACCGTGGAACACTTCGCCCCAGCCACAGTCACAGACCTATCCTCCACAAGGCATCACAAAGTACATGTGCAAAGCAATGCATTTTCCCCTCACAGTTTCCATGCAGTCCAAAGCAGCTCCTGCCAGGCAGTACCTTGGCAGTGCCAGGTAGTAAGCTGCCTGCAATGCTGCTTGGCTGTCAGTACCTTACCTCAGTTCAGTCAGAACGAGATGTCCCAGCGCACACCTAGAGTGACAGGCATGTGGTCACTGTGCATCTGGTCATCTCATAACCGATAAGGGTCAAGGATTCAGCTTGAGGGGTCAATGTAACAGCAGCAAAGAAAAGTGCTTCAAACGTTGATGATTTGTACAAAATGATTTGTATAAAGATTTGCTTCTAATAGATATAGACACCCTAATATATTTGTCAGATTTATGTATATATATATCTATGTGTGTATTATAGCAGCTCTCTCCAAGCTTCTATCCAGTGAGTGATGTCCTCGGGAACATTATTGCTGGCTCCGGCCATGTCCTCTAGATTACGGCTGCGGCTTACATACTGACCGCACAGACTTCCTCTTCACAATGTAGTAATCTGAGAGCACAAAGAAAAGTCACTCAGCAAGCGACAAGACACGGCAACAGTTCGCACACCAGCCATCACTGACTCATCCATCACTACCTCCCCACCTAAAATCATGAAGGCTCATTCTGGGGTATACAATTCCACAGTTGTAACTTCCAGGACATGCCCCCACCACCCCTCCAGGACATTACCCCTCCAGGACAGCAGTGGGGCTCCAGGCCCTGACTAACCCAGGGTTGCTAAGGCCAGTTGCTGTCCTGGCTGAGATCAGCTGAGTCAACAGGGAGTTAATTAAAGTCCTGCAGGTCGCTGAGTTGCACACTTAACCCCCCCCACCCACCCAACACCTGGCCAGCAATTGGCATGTGGGTTCGTTACTCCATTTAGGCACATCTCTCACCACCACCCCCTCCCCCACACTGAGTACAGACGCCCTGGAGCACAGCCCCAGACACAGGAAAATTGTGGATTTTCTGGAATGCGCGTCAACAACGAATTGCATTAATATAGCACCCTTCATGTCGTGAGGACATCCCAAGGTGCTGAACAATGAAGGGTTTTCACCCAAGCCTCAGGTTGGGATCAGAGTGGGGATGGAGGGAAGATGACCGAAGTTAGGAATGCTGGTGCACCTGGGAGTACATGGTCCAGTGTCAAGATGGGAATGCCTGGATATCTGGGATGAGTCAATGCCATGTGCATTGGCCGAACAACACAAGGGGACAACACGTGTCAGGGAAATCTTACCTGTTATAACACTCTGCCTCCTCTTGTGTGAGCATGGGCAGCTGCCATTCGCTTGGTGCTGGGCAGTGTGCAAAGTGCCGGGACATTTTACAGCCTTCTCGGTCCTGTGTTCCCCAGAGGTCTCACCCTCTCTTTGGGAAGCTGCGTTCTCCTTGCCCATAGAACGTAGCCCAGTCACATGCTGTCCCGTGCTGCCTCCGACAACGAAGGATCTGTAGAATAACGGCAACTCCTGGCTTCTCACTGCCTCCCACTGCAGTGCTCCGGCCAAAGGCCTCTCCGCTCCGAAATCAAAGTTCCATTTAATGCTGGCTTCCTCCAGGCTGTTCTGCATCTCCCGCTGCAGCTCTTTCCTCAGCTCTCCTCGATCCACAGCCCCAAAGAGGTTCCGGCAAACCCTCCTGGGCTTCATCTCCAAGGGACCTGGGAATCTCCCAGCCAGAGGCCACCTCTCACCCTGCAACAAAGAGACACTTCAGTAATCGAGAGCGAGGGTGGGCATCTGTGGAGAGTTGCCAGACTGCACTGGGTGCCTGTCCCAGAGAGGATCGATTTCAAGATCCTACTCTTGTCTTCAAATCCCTCCACTCCTCTGCACCCCCCGACCTCTCTGACCTCCTCTCTCCTCGCAACAGTGTCCGTTGCCTTTGCTCCACCGGGTCTGGCCTCCTCCTTGTCCCCCGAATCCTCCGCTCTACCCTCAGCGGCCGTGTCTTCAGCCACTATGCCCCGAGGCTCTGGAACTCCCTTCCTCACTCCCTTCGTCTCGCCCCCTCTCTTCCTATTTTCAGGTCTTTGCTGAAGACCTTTCTTTTTGACCGCGCCTTTGGTCACCTTCCCTCCCCCTCCCCCTGCCTCGGCCCCGGGATCCGTTATTGTGAAGCGCTCTGAGACGCCGTCCGGCGTGGATGGCGCTATATAAATCCAAGTTGTGGTTGTTGTTGGAGAGACACTGGGGAGGGGGAAGTGATAATGATAATCATCCTCACATTTGATATAGCGCCTTGTCACGTCTTCAAGACGTCTCAAAGCGCTTCACAGGAATCACTGTGAAGTGTAGTGACTGTGCTTTGTGGGCGGAACGTGGCAGCCAATTGTCATCGTGGAATGAGAAATGACAGACACCAAAGGGTGAGGGGCAGCGACAGACACCAAAGGGGGGCACAATAATCCCCCAAATAAAATTACGGACCTCACTTCATGGCTGTTTGTGGGACATTACCCAAATTGGTAAACACACAAACTCCTCCTCTCTCCACACAACTCCCCCCCCCACCCGACCTGCACTCACACCACAGGGAGAGAACTACAGCAAATAGTCACTACACTAAACAGCAAAATCATGCGATGAACTTTCAGATATCTCCACACCCTGATAAAAGTGTTATATTGAATACGTGAATTATGACTTGTTATGGTAATATAACCCTTGCAATTTGACATAGCACCCTTATCACTTCATCAAAACGTCTCAAAGCACTTCACAGAATTTTACTGTAAAGTATAGTGACTGTGTATGTGTAGGCAACAAATACACAGTATTTAATAAATACATAGCAACAATTATGCACACAGCGTTGTCCCATAAACAGCAACCAGGACAGCAGGAGAAACTCCCTTCTCTTTTCGAATAGTCCATTAGGATCTTTAATTTCCACCCGAACAGGTGGATGTTATCAGTTTAACATCCCAGCTGAAGGACCGCACCTCTGACAATACAGCAGAGTCCACGACCCCAACCCCCCACTGAATTAAACTCTCAGCGTAAGAGTATGAGCTCAAAGTCCCAACGCGGGGCTTGAACCCGCAACCTTCTGGCAGACAGAGTCGGGTAATAGCAACCCTTGCACTTGATATAGCACCTTATCGTGTCGTTTGAGACGGCTCAGAACATTGAATCAAGACACACAGTCCGCCCCCCCCCCGCCCCCCCCTCAATAGACACATAAACACACTCACAAAATCATCCTCTCCCCCCCATCCACTCCCCACCCCCCCCACACACACAGATAACCCTCCCCTCTCCAAGTGGAGCCCCTGAATCACACAGTGCAGGATAAGGGGTTGGGGGGTGGGGGGTTGAGGGCAGACCGGCCTGGGGAGGGGTGGAGGAGAAGCAGAATGAATCACTGGGCGGGTCACGGCTTTGCCCAGACATGTTCAATGGGGCTGAGAACAGGACCGGACATGTTGCACGTTACAGCTCAGGCTGCGCGCAACACAGGTGCCCGACCGACCGGCCGACCGACCTCAGCTCTGCCCGGAGGCTGAACGCTCGCTGTCGCTCAGCGGCTACTTAGCGACCACTGTCGCTCCATCATATACACACACATACACTCACACACTAACAAACTCACACACTAACACACTCACACGCTAACACACTCACACACGGACAAACTCACACACACTCACTAACTCACACACTAACAAACTCACACACTAACACACACTCATACACTAACACACTCACACACTAACTCACACACACTCACTCACTAACTCACACACTAACAAACTCACACTAACACACAAACTCACACACTAACACACAAACACACACACACTCACCAACTCACACACTAACAAACTCACACACTAACAAACTCACACACACACTCACTAACTCAAACACTAACACACTAACAAACTCACACACACACTCACCAACTCACACACTAACACACACACACACACACACTAATTCACATACACACATACACACTCACTAACTCACATATTAACAAACTCGCACATTAACTCACTAAATAACACCACAAACTCACCAACTCACACACACAAACTCACACACCAACTCAAATACCCACATAGATCAACTCACTAACTCACACACACCAACTCACATCCACACACACTCCCTCACTAACTCGTACACAGATACAGAAGAATATGAGGAATCCTTGTATTTGTAGACACCCCCCACACCCCCCACCCCCACACACTTACTAACTCATATACACACTCACACACACACACATACACAATCACACCCCCCCCCACACACTTACTAACTCATATACACACTCACACACACACACATACACAATCACACCCCCCCACACACTTACTAACTCATATACACACTCACACACACACACATACACAATCACACCCCCCCCCACACACACACACACACATTCACACCCCCCCCCCACACACACACATACACAATGACACCCCCCCACACACACATACACAATGACACCCCCCACCCCCACACACACACACACACATACACAATGACCCCCCCCACACACATACACAATGACACCCCCCCCACACACACACACACATACACACATACACAATGACCCCCCCCCCACACACACACACATACACAATGACACCCCCCTCACACACACACACACACAATGACACTCCCCCCCCCCCACACACACACACATACACAATGACCCCTCACACACACACACACAATGACACTCCCCCCCCCCACACTCACACACACACATATACACACACATACACAATGACCCCCCCCCCCCCACACACACACACACTCAAACACAGTCACACAGAGTCCCCCCTCACAAACTCACTAACGCATACATACACAAAGTCACATACACACACAATACCCCACTCCCACTCCCCCCCACACACTCACTCACAAACACAACTCACATCCACACACACTCACTCACAAACACAACTCACATCCACACACACTCACAAACACAACTCACATCCACACACACTCACTCACAAACACAACTCACATCCACACACACTCACTCACAAACACAACTCACATCCACACACACTCACTCACAAACACAACTCACATCCACACACACTCACTCACAAATACACACACACAATACCCCCCCCCCACCCCTCCCACACACACACACACACTCACATCCACACACAAACCCCCCCCCCCCCCCCCCGATGCCCATAAACAGAGGCAGAAACCACCGACACGCACATCGCCAACACACACACACACACACACATACACACACCCAAACACACACACACACACACACACACCCCGACGCACACACATCCCCTCTCGGGCGCAAACACAGACGATGGTCAGAACCAACTCACCATCACCAGGTAAGGACAGAGTGCAGGAGCTGCTGCTCTCTCTGATGTTGCTGTCCCACTCTCTCTGTGTGTGTGTGTGTGTGTGTGTCTCTCTCTCGCTCTCTCTGTGTGTGTGTGTGTGTGTCTCTCTCTCTCTCTCTGTGTGTGTGTGTGTGTGTGTGTGTGTCTCTCCTCTCTCTCTCTCTGTGTGTGTGTGTGTGTGTGTGTGTGTGTGTGTCTCTCTCGCTCTCTCTGTGTGTGTGTGTGTGTCTCTCTCTCTCTGTGTGTGTGTGTCTCTCTCTCTCTCTCTCTGTGTGTGTGTGTGTGTGTGTGTGTGTGTGTCTCTCTCTCTCTCTCTGTGGGTGTGTGTGTATGTGTGTCTCTCCTCTCTCTCTCTCTCTCTCTGATATGTCGGGGCAAGTTCCGAAGATCTAACCACGGATCTTGGATATTGCGTAAATCCACCAAATCATATGATGTGCAGAGACCCACCCACTGGGAGGAGAAAGAAAAGTGCAAACTGCAATCACTCTCTCTTCCTGCAGTGACAGGACAACCCCGAGGGTGGGGAGACTGGTCAAATCAGGGACTGGAGGCTGGTGTACTGGAGATTGGTTGGAGGTCAAACCAATACAACCCTCCAAAGGAACTGAATCCAACTGTGTTGGGTGGTGGTGGTATTCCCCCAACTCCGACCTCCCGCTCGGGGTTCAGCCCCAAGATCTGAGCACCCGCTGCAATCCCAAGCCCAGAGATCAGATCTCCCGAATCCCGACCAAGCGCCCCCCGCCCGCCGCCCGCCCGAGTCCCTGGACCCGAGCCCCAGGCGCAGAGTGGATAGGACCCGACCTCCACCGGATCGAGTGAGGTCCAATTCCCAATCTTTAATGGGGCTCTTCAATAATTCCTTCAAAAAAAATTAATGGTATTGAACGCCCTCAGTGGTTGCTTCCTTTTTAGCGGATTCACCGCCTCTTTCAGGAATACCCACAAAATGCATTCTCTTTAGTCCGTGTGATGTGCACTGATTTCATCTGAGTCCTCTCGACTCCCTGACCATTTCCCCCCAATGCTCGGGTCCTGACCCAACTGTACAGCGCCTTGGGACGTCCCCCCGATGTGAAAGGCGCTCTATAAATGGAATCTTGTTGTTGTTGTTGTTCATGTCAGTGTAGATGATAAACTCAGACTGGCTGGCTTGGACAATAGAAAAAACAGATGAGACATGAGATCCCATGGTACTACTCAAAAAATAATACATCCTCCCAATGTGAAAGGTACTATATCTAGGATAATAATAATCCTTACATTTAATACAGTGCCTTATGTCGTTGAGACGTTTCAAAGCGCTTCACAGGTAAAGTGGAGCGACTATGTATTTTGTGGGCGAAACATGGCAGCCAGCTGCGCACAGAAATGTCCCATAAACAACCATGAAATGAATGATCAATTTTATTTGGGGATTGTTGGCCAGGACACCGGGAGAAACTCCCTTCTAGGCAAGTGAGGTTTGATTCCCAGGGAGGGCAAAACGTTGGATAAGTTTCCTTACTCCACATTGCCTGTTTACCTAGCAGTGAGTAGGAACCCAGATGTTAATAATTACTTTTCACCTCTTCTCTAGGCGCCTCAAAGCGCTTCACAGAATATACTGTAAAGTGGGCGAAACGCAGCAGCCAATCGCGCACAGCACCGTCCCACAAACAGCCATGGACTGAATTGACCGATTTATTATTTGTAAAGGAACTTGCCAGTTTTGCCCAGCTGGGAATTGAACCCAGGTCCTCTCACTTCCAAGGCGGGTGCTCTAACCACTAAGCTGAAGGGAACACGTGCAACACAAGTGGGGCAGACACAGGGGACAGCAAAATGGCCCTACAGTTCATTTAATGACGAGTGCAGCTCTGTGCCGAAACACATTTTGTATCAAAATAAATTGATAACAATGACTAACCTTGACTCCTCAAGAATTAACGTATACTTTTTTTTCCTGCTTTTTATAATTCGGAGAGGTCATTGAGATTTTCCATGAATGTACATCAACAGTGAAGAAAGCAGAATGTTACCATGGCCCACCCACGCAATCCTGCTTGCGTGTGCTGGCTGGAAACTCTATAGTCACTGGGTCCCAATATAAGGATAACCTTTTGGGAGTTTAGGAACTGATGATTCATGACATGGAACAATTAATTGGGCTGAATGGTCATTTCTGTGCAGTCGTCTGTGCAATTCTATGTTTACAAAAAATAATTGACTCATTCCTTTCTGATGATCTTATTTTTAGCTTAGCAGTGCAAAGTGCAAGAGGAAAGCAATATCTTTCCATGTGTCCATATCTATATTAGTAACAACTTGCATTTATATAGCGCCCTCCACGCCAGGCAATGCCTCAGAGTGCTTAAATTATTGGGCTCATCTTTATCAATTGAGGAGGCCATGTAATATTCTTATCCCTGATCAATCAATCAGAAATAATTACTAAATGTCCTTTCCTTAGAGGAGCAGGCAACTAGGAGATCCCCAGGGGAGGGGAGAGCACTGGTAAAACTGAGACTGGATACCATATGCTGCACTATCAACTGATAGATACAGAGGAGCTATTTCCTCTGATGGGGGAATCCAAAACAAGGGGGCAGTCTTAAAATTAGAACCAGGTCATTCAAGAGTGAAACCAGGAAGCATTTTTTCACCCAAAGGATGGTAGAAATCTGAAATTCTCTCCCCCAGAAGGCTATGAATGCTGGATCCATCCACACCTTCAAGAGTGGGGTTGATAAGATTATATATATATACACACACACACACACACATGACTTGGGGGAGGTGGGGATAGGTAAAGGTTAGCACAAGACAAAAAAAAATCCTTACATTTGGTATAGTGCTTCTGACAAGAGGATGTCTCAAAGCGCTTCACAAAATATATTATAGATTCCCCAGGTTTTGTGGACAAACGCAGCACCACACCGCATTGGAGCAGTTTCAAGAGGATAACTAGAAAAATCAAAACAAGGAAGCAAAAAAGCAAGGGAGAGTAACTATGTGAGGGTGACAATCGAGTATGACAAGCTGCAAGCATGTCTAAAAATAGCAGCGAGTGGGGCAGGTTCAGCCATTAACATTGGCAACAAATGGACTTTTAATCTACATAAATCTACAGACCTGGCTGAGGCAATGTGAAACTACTGCCATCTATAGCCTGGTGGGGTGAAACCTTAAGAAAGTTTCCATACTCCACACACACACCTGCAGGAAGAGGGCACCCAGTTGTCAGTTGATTGGCAGATCACTTTTCTGGGGGGGGGGGTAATAATCCCTGAAAAAAAAATTTTGGTCACTCAATCCATGACTGTTTTGTGGGACACTGCTGTGCGCAATTTGCTGCCACGTTTTGCAAATACTTTGCAAGATATTGTGAAGCACTTTGGGACATCTTGAAGACGTGATATCAATTTGTTTAAAACATAAAGCAAGGATTATTATTGAGTCTGGCAACAGTAGTGCTAGTCACAAACACTTGTGCAGCACACTGTCTAAAAGTGTGGAGTCCTGTAGCTCAGTGGTTAGAGCACTCGCTTTGCAAGTGAGAGACCTGAGTTCAATTCCAGGCAGAGGGTGAAACCTTGGGCAAGTTTCCTTACTCCACACAGAGCCTAATAATAATCTCTCCCAAAACCAAAAACAATAATTAAATTGGTCATTTTCAAGCCGCGTTCGCCCACAAATATACAGTCAATTCACTTTACAGTGTGTTCTGTGAAGCGCTTTGGGACGTCCTCCCGACGTGAAAAGCGCTATATCAAATGCAAGGATTATTATTATTATTATTAAAACAGTCCCAGCCATTAATACACTGCTCTGTCCAATAAAGCTCTCCATGACTCCATTTTCTTTTCTGCAGATTTCCCAATGCTGTTTCAGCTATTGCTTTAAGCTCATACTAAAGAACAATACATTACGTTGGTATGGTGCCTTTTACAGCAGGACTGCCCAAGGTGCTGGACAGTCAGGGATTTGGGATCTGAGCTGGGGGTCAGATTGGAGGATGGAGGGCAAGGAGGTAGAGCAGAGCAATACTGGCCAAAACTTCTACAGGTGAAAAGAAATTAAATGGACAGGTGAATGCATGACTACCTACTTTTGCACTTACTTCCAATCAAAGAACAAATCAAATTACAATGTTTTCCAGCAACCACTCAAAGGAGTCTTGCAATTGTTGGAATAATCCAGCACCTCTGAACCCAACAAATTAAGTGCATTGTACGGAACTATATTGTTCCCTACCCCAAGACCAAATTAGTTTCAGCAGGACCTTAGTACCAGCATCACAATAATCCTTGCATTTGATATACCACCTTATGTCTTTCACGATGTATCACAGAATATGCTGTAAAGTGAATGTTCTGTATATTTTGTGGGCAAAAACAGTAGCCAATTGTGCACAACTATGTCCCACAAACAGTCATGTACTAAGTGATTAAATTATCATTTTTGAACAAATTATTGGCCCTGAAAAAGTGATCCACCAATCAACTAGGTTCCTACTTACTGTTAGGGAAACAGGTATGTGGCGTAAGGAAACTTGCCAAACATTTGCCCAGTCAGGAATTGAATCCAGGCCCTCAACTGTGAGTACTCTAACCACTAAGCTACAGGACTTCACAGTATTCAGGATTTGCAACACCTTCCAGTGCTAGTCATGGGAATGTACATGTTTTCATAGGGAAAGGGAAAATACAGAGAGTGGGCAAGGACAAGGAAGCAGCTGGAAGTGTGATCCTTAAGTTGATCGGCTGTGGAATTTATGGAGTGAAGCTAGGAAGACTAGCTTGAGAAATTAAATAGAGGCTACTAATTTTCACTATAACATTTAGGAAATGGAAAATAGCCCAGGAATTGCTTAATGCCGTTTGAAATTCCAGAAGTCAAAAAGACTTGCAAAGTAAAAATCAGTATACAGAAGTTACTATTTTCCACAACAGTCATAAGCTCTCCCCATATCAGTGTTGGCACAGGAACAAAGAAATAGGCAGCAGTGTTCTGTAACCAAAGTTTATTTCCAAGAAAGTCACAAACAGCATACAATGACAGGAAAAAGGATTACAAAGCTGAAGAACGAACCAAACAGTGTGCCGCTCCAGCTTCTCTCACTATCCAATAACCACATTGGATGAGACAGATGGGGCAGCAGGCCACTTATAATGCAGTTGCTGGTGAAAATGGACCTAAAAAAACTACATTTCCAGCAGAGCCAAGTAGAGGGGCAGTTCTTTGCTCTTTAGACTGTCCGTGGAAATAAGTCACCAGAGCAAGAATCCATTGAGCATTGCTGACTAGTCAATGATTAATTCTTCAGGTCAGAGTTCAGGAAAACTCCTCCTGGCCAGTATTTGAGTTTTATTAATGCCTCATTGGAAAACACTGGGGTCAGGAAAAAACACTGTCCAGGTTTCCCCTCCAGGAGATCAGTTAGTCCACAGAACGCCCTCCATGTATTTATTCAGAAAGTACACAAAATAATTTTAAAATCGTATCTAAAATGCAAATGTATTTCTACACCAGCACTGGATACACTTTGCATTATCAAACCTCATTGTGCTGATAATGGACCCAGAGCAGTCCTAATGATGCCTGGTCACAAGCACTTCCTATTATTCCCAATGCACTGCACAGAGGTGGTTTCTTCTACAAAGTGACAAGTTTAAGGGTCTAGAAAAGTAGTAACTATGGTCTGTTATTTTAGAAAAAAATGAACTGAGGAAAGCCATCAAACGTAACTGAAATACAGTATTGCCAAGCATGCAACCCTCACAAGTCTTAATGCAAACTTGTAGACTTTGCAGCAAGACGAGCATTTAACAGCTTTCCACTGTAAAATAGCCTACCAGAGAATGATCTTCGTGGTATTCTGCTGGGCTCTTACAGCTACAGCAGCTGGAGCTGCTCAAATGAACGGACGTCAGCAGCACAAGGATAGGAGCCCTCAATGAACACAGGCAAGTGTCCATATACACCCACCCTTATAAAAACACAACTCTGCCATAATTCACAGGTTTGAAAACTTCTCACTGGTTACATTATAGAATACACAAAAAGAAAACAATGAATAGCTAAAATAGGGTAAAAAATGCACTGAACCACGTGTCATAAGAGTCTATTAAACAAATGCAAATCATGTCCTTAACAACTCTGACGGTCTGTACACGGATCTTCACAAAGGTCACCAGGCTTCAGCTCACTTCCTATCGTTTGACCTGGAACGACTAAAGAGAAAATAATACAAATTTTAGTCTGCTGTTCGCTCAATACAAAATAATAATCCTTGCATTTGATATAACGCTTTTCACATCTTCTAGACGTCTCAAAGCACTTCACAGAAGAGACTGTAAAGTGAATTGACTGTATATTTGTGGGTGAAATGCGGCAGCCAATTGCGCAGTGTCCCACAAACAGTCGTGGATTGAAATGGCCAATTTATTATTTTTTTTCTTGAGAGATTATCAGGCGTGTGGAAACTTGCCCATGGTTTCATCCTGCTGGGAATTGAACCCAGGTCTTTCACTTGCAAAGCGAGTGCTCTTTAACCTCTGAGCCACAGGACTCCACGATAGTCAATCACTGCAAAAGATCAGAGCCCCGTAGCAATGCTAAGTACAAAGGATACCAAGCTTTTCAATTTCCCTACCCAGCCCCCCAGAGTTACTACACCCATTTATAATAGGTGCGCTCTTATTGTGAAGCAAGTGTGAGAGATAACACTAAAATGAAGATAGTTGTAACCTAAACTCCCAGCACTGAATTTTTATAACTAGAACAAAGATCTCAGAAAGAGAAGTCAAATCTCAAATATATAACAGAATTGCACTGGATGTGTTGCTCTACAAATTAAACTTCAAAGTAAAATTACTCAGGAATCTCTGCAGTCACATTACATATTAAGTAAGTAATTTATTCATCTGTACCAATAAAGGCGAAATGTCTGTGTGTGTGGTAGTTGTCAGTGTATCCGACAATCACGCAATAACCGATTGACGTAGACATGATTTATACCTCCCCGGAAAGGTCTTGCACCAGGCAGTGCCATAGGCATTTTTTGGGGGGGAATCTCCTATCGTTGATGAGCTATATTAAAAATGCTTTAAATAAGGCCCAAATTATAAGGTATACATCGTATTCTGCAACTACCTAGCGACAGAAAAGCATACACCGTTCAGAGATACATCTATATTCTGCAACAAATGTACACCACTTTTTTCTGGTTGTCAAGGGAGACAGTCCTCGCATGTGGGACAGATCGAGAGTGCCTTGGCCCGAGGGCGTGCCAGAGCTAGGGCACGCCAGCAAGAGTGTGTGTGAGAGACAGAGAAAATATATTAAGAGTCCTCTGGCAGAGTATAGATAAAGACGAAATGCCTGTGTGTCAATCTACATTCCACATTGGGTCCTTTGTTTGCAAGCAAAGCTGCATTGCATACAGCTAGTTTAGCATATTTCTACAGCACTCCATCAAAGGACTAATAATTTCAATAAATTCTGGGTACTTGCCTGCGAGATCGGGAGAACGAGCGAGACGGTTTGTGGTTCCTCTCTCTGGACAGGGATCTCTCTCTCCTACGATCCCTTGAAAGGGACCTGCAGCAAAATCAAAACCGAATACTTTAGTTAAGTGACACACATGGACTTCTGAAACAAACTACGTATGGAAAGCAAACTAAAGACCATATTAGGTTTGAAGAAAGCCTTTGAACCTACCTAAGTAACTGAAATGACAACTTTGTAAAGGATAGTTATGTTCTCCTCAAACAGCAAGTACTGTGGTCAGAAGACATTGTAAGTGAATAAGTTACCTGCTGCGACTCCTGCTGAAGCTCCTTCTGCGAGGTGGTGATCTAGAAGCGAGAAGGGAGTTAGAAAGTGAACAGAGTGCAGCAGCTGTACAATGACCAGCGAAGTACCATCCTACTCGACCACAGCTCGTCTCAACAACCCCGGTTCACTAGTGAAGGTAATTAATGCTGTAAAATGTACTCGACAGGCAACCTGCATGAGAGTCTGAGTGCAAAATTAACATTAACTTACAAACTAATATATTCGTGGTGACTCAATACATTGCAGGGGTCTCAGGCTAATCAAGTGACAAACAATCCACATCCAAGGGAGCTACAGCATGTTAGGCCTAATCAACCAGAAGAGCGGTTATCCAATAAATTCACAGGGCAAAACTACAACTGGAGTTTAAGCTTTCTGCTCAACATTTAACCTTGGCAAGTCATAAATTGATCATTTCACATGCCATTGCATTTCCCGATGTAATGATATCCCAGGAATAATTCCAGGTAACTTACACCAAACTAATTCTCAGACAAAACACTGAGAAACCCTGCATTGGTGTTTGATGCAGCCTGAATGATATAAAGGTCCTGACTAATGTGTGATGGACTTGCTACACAACACTCCAGCAATTGGCCAGCTACAAGTAACCGGGATGGAATGCACTGGGGAGGCGGTGGGGGTTCAGTGGTTAGGAACCCAACATTCAGGTTCATGAGCGTTTCGCCAGCAGCTACAACAATGCTACTAGTGGTTTCTGACACTAGAGCCCCCAGGCAACGCAGGCAATTGATTGACAAGTTTTCCATTCCTGGTAATAGCCAAGTCACTTTAACTTCAATGTAGCCTCTTATCACTGCCTTTTAATTGATACACAATCAATTACCTTACTAGGGAACCACACAGAAAAGGGGAGGTAGCTACTCCTGGCCACTAGACTTGCATCACTGCATTATATCATTCAAAAAAACTTGCCTCTCTTGACCGAAGACATTCAACCAATGGTGGCTTGTTAAAATTCAAAAACCCAAATATCATTGAATTTCAGTTAATGGGGAGGTGGGGGGGAACAAACATGGCAACTGCACAATTCTAACCAGTACAAGATCAAACCCACCCATTAGAACAATTTTACAATGTTACATGCACTTTCATCTCAAACCTTGTCTTCATTTTAGCCACTCATCTCTCCTTTTTAACCAGTACTCAAACACGTAGATGCAGATACAGCATTGGGCCACCAAGTCAGGTCAACCCACCACTGCATTGTCCTTTACATAGTGGAAAAAAATCCAGGCCAGGGTTTCAAGTAGACGCAATTGGAAGTCCATGTCACCAAGATGGCTACTGCCCACTTGACACAATTGGCACTACATAGGCCATTGCCAACAGATTAATACTGCGCATGTTTGCCATATTTATTATTGGGTGGCCAATTGAGATTTTTCCACCATAGTCACTCTTTCCCCAATCAAAGACTGCCCTTAATTACCCTGTAAAGTTTAGAAAAACTAATACCTACAGCACCGAGAACCAGGTCTACACTGCCACCTCCAGGGCCAGGCTAACTCAAGGAAAGTGCCTGCTTTCCACTTTCTTAAAGCTCAAGTCTGTTCAAAAAACACCTGAATTGCCTTACTTTACATTGCACACACTTCCTGAAGTGGGACAAAGCTATAACAGACCCTATAAATGTTGGAATCTGGTAACCAACCCGTTTAAAAATAAATGAGCAAATAGTTCCCCAAATTGGAAAAAAAGTTGAGTTTCAAGCAATATTGAGTCAGCTTGATTTGAGAAACGATATAGAATTTATTTTCAATTAACTGGACAGCATCCATAACTAACCACCACTATGGAAACCGAGACAAGTGGCACGGCACCTTCCTTCAAGTTACCCTGGCCTTACTTCTAAGCATTTTTGCATTTAAGAGTCTGAATTTTCAAACTGATTCACCAGTGGCAAATTATTAATATTAATCTAAAGCTAACTGTCAAGACTGTTATTCCTGGACCCAAGTGCAAAAGAATTGCCGGGTCTAATTTAAGAACAAGAACTCATCTTTTTGCCTAAATGTAGTTTAACACAGTCAGCCCCTAACAGAACACGAGTCCATTTACCTTTTCAAACGCTTACTCCATTATACCAGCAGTAGACTATTGTATAAAGCAGGAAAAACTTACTAGTCTTTTGGTTTTCAACAAGCTAGAAATGGAGAGGTGAGGCTGCCGGACTGACGGCCAGGTAGAATTTGCTGAAAAGGTTTGCCAGATGCGTGGTATTTGGTTGGCAGAGGGGGGATGTAGTGGTTTTTTTCCTGCTTTTTATTTAGCCGAAGGCTGCTGAAACAAATGCTGAGTGTTCGGCTGCTGTTGTGGAGACAACGAGTAAGGTAAACAGCTGATTGACCAGAAATGTGCGGGCAGTTGAGGCAGCCACTGCTGATTGGTTAAGGTTGGAGAAGAGGCTGAGAAACAGCATGCTTGGGAACCAAAGGGCGGTGCAACCTGACGACTGGACATGCCTTGGTCATGTGATACCGACACCAGCCAAGCTGATTGGGGCGCGCTGGTCACATGACGCTGAAAGAGGGATAGTTGACTGGCTAATGTAGACTCGAAGGGCGGTGAGAAGAGGCATGATGGTGACTCTGCAAGGGGGGGGTTCATTTTTATTAATATATAAATGGATTAAAAAAAATGCATCTTTTAAAAAGAAATAGTTGCAACATTTAAGCCATCGGTAACGCCAGATTAAACACATTATCAACCATTAGTGATGAGTGACAACGCAAACAGCAATGCATAACTCCGCAACATCCTGTGTCAAAATGCAACAGACTAGAAAGCAGTAGCATGCTGTGCAACCTTTAGATATGCTAATCAGGGTTCCTTCTGAATGTTCCCGGTTAACAAGAAAAGGGCACTCACCTTCAATGATGCTCTTCGACTGAGATGGAAGAGGCTCCCTCTAGGGCAAGGTACCAGCATTTGCTGAGTTGGGTTTTATTGCACCATGGAGTCTGGGCTCCAAACTGAAAGAACTGCCCGATTTGCTGCATTATTTCAAAACCTTTCAAAGATGGGTAGCAGGAGGCAGGTGCCTGAGGTTATTACACTGGTAGCCCTTAGCGTCGAAGCCCTGTGACCTGCTACCAAACTCAACACAAGGCAGAAAGAAAAATGTACGCTTGGCACAAATTCATTCAACGAGCTAGCGGCAGAAGGAACCCTGGGGTTGAGTTGCAATAGGCTCAATGTAGCATCGGAGACCAAAATAGCCCAGACATCACTCAGACCTTCTACCTTCTACAAACGCCCACCAGTCATATGAGCACATCAGGATTCAGGTTAAGTCAAAATGGGGCCCAGTTTAAGAATTGAGCGCCAACATTAGGTTTAGATGTCAAGGTCCTGACACTGGTACAAATTTAAGTCGCTACCTAAACCCCTGGCAGCTCAATGGTATCTTTCTCCCCTCAAGATGCATTTCTCTGCAAATAAAGCTCACTGATCACCAAGAATTAAGCTTCATATCTGCTCAACATTTAGCCAGTTACGTGAAGTCAATGCTGGGAGTCCAGTCAAATCCTTGACAGCAGTGCTAAAATATCAATTGCTGAAGTACAAATGTAGCATGGCTGAACTGCTACATAAATCGGAAAGAACTTGGCTGCTCCAACAGCATGCTTTTTACCTCACCCCACTGACATTAAGCCAAAATGAAAGCGAAGTGTAGATAATTCTGTATAGCAGAGAATTTTCTTAATTGAGTGCAAATAAGCAGTATTTCAGACATTTCAGTCTGAATTCAAAGAGTTGTTTTTTTTCTTATATATAACCATATAAAGTTTCCTTCTACACCTAGCATCACCAAATGGTTGAGATAATATTGATTTTCCCCACAAATGGCCAATTCTGAACTTCAGTGCGGTATTTTAGCACTGCAACCCTATAGGTTTATAAAACTGCAATAAGCTACATGTGAAAGCTCCCACTTGCAGGGCAGGACTCAGAGAAGAACACCACAATGTAGCACATACACGATGTGCTTCTCATATGGTGCTCAGTAAAAGAAACTAAAAGGTTAAGGGCCTGAAAACTAGGGTAGTCATGATACATTTCTTACACAAAACAAGGTCAGAATACAAGAAGCAACTCAAGAGCCCTTTCATTCGGTTAAAAGTGCCAGACTGTTTGTGAAAGTTGCATACCCACACCCCCATCTACCACTGCAATCTGATGCCCTTGAAGGACAAAGCCATTCAGAGCCTTTTTTAAAAAAAGGAGTCAAGAACAGTTACTGATTGAACAGATTATATTGCAGCATACACAAAGAAACATTGCCTTAGATTCTGGGAATTCGACTGGCTTTAGCAGTCATCAACAGTGAAAACTAAAATTCAAAATCATGACATCCCTAATGGCCCTCAAAATCAAATGGAATCCTATATAACAACACACTAAACATTATAGCACTGTCACGAGATATCAGGCTGTTATTAAAATCAATGTCACCCATCACTAGTAGTTATTGAGCAGAAAACAGCTCAATACAACTTACAGACGGAATCACAGAAATTTAACGGTTTTAGCATCACACAGCACATTTTTGCAGCTATCGTTACCTGCGCCTTGCTGGGGGGCTTCTCCGGCGATAGTCATCACGAGAGCGTCTGGTCCATTGTTGAGCGGGGGGACGAGCACGACGCCTCTCACCATTGGAGAGTTCTACACGAACACGGCAGCCACAAAGACTCCTGCAACCAGAGTATGATTAAATATTACTCCACAGCCTGCACACCTATTTCAACAGGTTCCACAATCAACTAAATTGAAAATAAAATAAATTTCCACTGCAGATCGAAACCTCATGAATGATCACCATTTCTCTCCCTCCATCAGGTGGTGATTTTGTTCACCACCTCTAACTCTGGGGGCACAAACTGCACCCATTCCAAGAGATGGTAATGCAGTCCAGTATCTTGCAATCGATCAACAATCCTTGGGAAAATGTGGGAACCTAAATATCCGTCAGAAATTTTCTAACAGCTACAGGTTGAAATATAAAACCTGCACACAAGTCTTCCCTGTTTCAGCAGCTAACTCATTGGAATCATTCATAAAATCCAACTTGTACTTTTAGGGCACTGAAAGGGATCTACTACAATGCAAATTTACATTTAAATAACATCTGTCACACTGGGAGGACATCCTAAAATACTAATACTCATTCCTAGATTATAACACAACAGGAAATCTCAGTGATGCCAAACAAACTCTTGAACTAAGGAACTGGTCCTGAGGTGTATAAGTGAAACATTGTTTATGCAACCATTTGGAGGCTTGTAGTGACATTTCATAACAATGAACTCCTCTCTTTCAGTGTCAAAACAATGGCCCGTTATTACTCAAAATGCATCCAACAATTTCTGATGAGTGCTGTGAAGATTTCACCAAGGAGATGGAAGCTGCAGAGATGAATACTTTCAATATCTGCACTAGCATCCCACGCCTGGTGGTATTGTATACGAGCTACTGGGACGCAACCCTGCGTGAGCGGTGCTATACAAATGTAAGTTGTTGTTGTAGCTACCACACTATTAATGTAGGATTCTTGCATTTCACTTCACACTCGAATCAAGGCCAGTGTTTCAAGGGCTTGACACAATTGAGATTGCCCACTGTGGTGCAATTTGGAATTAAGTGCATTAGACACCTATCAGTGTCATGGCAATACAAATTGGGTTTTACCAAAAGCAGTCTTCTTACCTGCAAGACCATAATCTGCCCTCAGTTAGCAACCAACAAAAGATAACTAGTTTAGTAAAACTAATTAACCATTTTGCTAATACAGCCTAGTAAGGTGGTCAAGTCTGAAATGTGTGTCACACCATAAAGCACTTTGATAGTGATTTATAAAGAGCTGATAACTGAGTGCAACAATTATTATTCCACAGAAGGAATACTGAAACTACTACCAAGCAAGCAATTCCAGACCAGTATCTGTGGAAATCTAATTAGAAACACCAGGTCCTTCAATACTAATGATATTAATGATTCTTTTTCAGCCAAAAACTTATTGCAAATGTGAAAAGTGTAAACTCTAAAGTCATCTTGATGTATAAAGAATGCAAGATACCTAGTGTAGCACAATTCCTCGGATAAAACTTAGCGAACCTCAGCCAAGAGTTCTGAGCATTTGCAAGAGGTGCAAGCCCAGCAATAAAAGTGACAAAACTGCCCAAAACACAAGATTGGATCCCCACGCCAAAACAAAACTAACTATAATCCTTGTTTTATACCTCATCCACTGCACAGCAACTGCCTAGCAATTTGAGGCAACACTTTCTGCTTAACTCACTTAGGCTGTGGCATACATGATAACCAACTGCACTTCTGGTTTTTGAAAGGCATAATTGTAGATGTAGCCCAAGGGAACCACCAAGCACAAGACAAGCAAGCGTGCATATAGATATCACAGAAAAGTTAGAATATAAAGTTACAAGTGTAGGCACAAGGGCAGCAAAGAGAACCGGTGAAGGGATGCGAGGCAAAAGTATATAATTATATTATTGGCCATTAATATCAGGTTACTTATTATTGTAAATAATGTCAGCATCAATGTGTGAATTTCCATTCACTAAATGGCACTGAGCCCCAGAATCTGTTGCCACCATGACACATTTAATAATCCTTGCATTTATTATTATATCCATTACAATATTAATCGTCCAATCAAATCCATTTTGTACGTTCCCTGCTGTGAGCCATTCTGGAACTAGCATTGTAAAATGGCTTCCTGAAGCAGCTCAGCAGCACTCAGTTGGTCACAGGTTGAATCTCAGCATGGCGTAGCAAGGTTTGAGTCTCAGCGTGGCCACTAGATGGTGAACTTGCAGAAAGCAAAGCTATTAACAAGGAACCAGTGTCCAAATTAACCAAAAGGCTGCAGAAAGTAGCACGTTACTAGAAAACTTAATCAGTACCTTCCATCAAGTTCTCTAACCGCATCCGAAGCATCACGGGGATCTTCAAATTCAACGAATGCAAAGCCGGGGGGGTTCCGGGCAACCCACACACTGCGAAGTGGCCCGTAATACCCAAAGGCTCTTTCCAGTTCTGTCTTGTTCCCATTATTCCCAAGGTTTCCAACGTACACCTTGCAGTCTAATGGGCACGAACCATGATTCATGGCTGAAACAAGGTGCACAAGCAAGTTTAACTCCAAATTCTTTTAACATGCAGAATTGCTGGAATTCATTCACAACCCAAGCTTTAGGCTTTGTGGACTCAAGGCGCCCTTTGAAATGCCAGCAAGTAATGCCGTAATTATAAATATAAACGATAATACAGAGAAAATTACCAGATACTATGCATTTTATGATTGCAAGTCAGGTTAATCATAGAAAAAATATGCGCCCACAAGTCCTGTAGCCTCTCATGGGGCGTGGGTGGGGGGGCATAGGACTATAACCCTTAAATACACAGATTGAAACCCCAAATTCACAGACAACTCGGTTAACAAATACAATGCCCCCTCCCCACTAAATTATTGTACTATACTACAGTAGAACAGGAGCAGCGAGAAAATCCAGAGGAAATAAATCAGAGGGGGAAAAAAAACCGCACCATCGTTTCAGAAAATGGCCGCGCCCTCGTTGGAGCAGTGCAGAGACCCTGTGCGCTCAACACTATCAGCATGCAGACCACAGCACCTTAAATTAGATTAATCCCCACACACACACAGCTCTCTCTGACACCCCGAGGCCCGGCTCCTCACCCCCCCAACTGCTCACTCTCCTCACCCCCCAACTGCTCACTCTCCTCAGCCCCCCAACTGCTCACTCTCCTCAGCCCCCCAACTGCTCACTCTCCTCAGCCCCCCAACTGCTCACTCTCCTCACCCCCCCCCAACTGCTCACTCTCCTCACCCCCCCTCAACTGCTCACTCTCCTCACCCCCCCCCCAACTGCTCACTCTCCTCACCCCCCCCAACTGCTCACTCTCCTCACCCCCCTCAACTGCTCACTCTCCTCACCCCCCCCTCAACTGCTCACTCTCCTCACCCCCCCCCAACTGCTCACTCTCCTCACTTCCCCCCCAACTGCTCACTCTCCTCACCCCACCCCACAACTGCTCACTCTCCTCACCCCCACCCCCAACTGCTCACTCTCCTCACCCCCACCCCCCAACTGCTCACTCTCCTCACCCCCACCCCCAACTGCTCACTCTCCTCACTTCCCCCCAACTGCTCACTCTCCTCACCCCCCCAACTGCTCCCTCTCCTCATCCTCACCCCCCAACTGCTCACTCTCCTCACTTCCCCAACTCCTCACTCTCCTCACCCTCCCCCCAACTCCTCACTCTCCTCATCCTCCCCCAACTGCTCACTCTCCTCACCCCCCCAACTACTCACTCTCCTCACTTCCCCCCCAACTGCTCACTCTCCTCACTCCCCCCCCACTGCTCACTCTCCTCACTCCCCCCCACTGCTCACTCTCCTCACTCCCCCCCCCACTGCTCACTCTCCTCACTCCCCCCCCACTGCTCACTCTCCTCACTCCCCCCCCCACTGCTCACTCTCCTCACTCCCCCCCGCCCACTGCTCACTCTCCTCACTCCCCCCCCACCAACTGCTCACTCTCCTCACTCCCCCCCCAACTGCTCACTCTCCTCACTCCCCCCCAACTGCTCACTCGCCTCACTCCCCCCCAACTGCTCACTCTCCTCACTCCCCCCAACTGCTCACTCCCCCACAACTGCTCACTCTCCTCACTCCCCTCCCCCAACTGCTCACTCTCCTCACTCCCCCCCAACTGCTCACTCTCCTCACTCCCCCCCAACTGCTCACCCCCCCCAACTGCTGACTCTCCTCACCCCCCCAACTGCTGACTCTCCTCACTCCCCCAACTGCTGACTCTCCTCACTCCCCCAACTGCCCACTCCCCCCAACTGCTCACTCCCCCCAACTGCTCACTCCCCCCCAACTGCTCACTCCCCCCCAACTGCTCACTCTCCTCCCCCTCCCCCGGCTCCCTCACTTCGCTCTCCTTCCCCCCCCCCAACCCCACCCCGCAGGGTCCAGCTCATCTGCCTGTACCGCCATGGCCTGATCTCTCTCTCCCTCTCTTTCGTCTCCTCTCTCACTCAGTCAAGTCAATCAGTGCAGCAAATGGCGCCTCCCGCCCTCCCAATCCTAAGGCCCCGCCGCTCGGAGAAGAAGCAAAACCGCGCGAAACGCGGCGGCCTCGTGGTCGCAGCCCGAACCCACCGGGCTCCATACGGTGGGGAGTCGGACTCTGCAGCGACTCCAGGCCGGTCGGTCGATCGGTCGGTCAGTCGGTCGGGCGGGCGGGCACGTGGCGGCAGTTACCTGCTCCTGTGCTGCTCTCTCGGAGGCGCCGCTGTGAATCGGTCGCGGACAAAAGCAAAATGGCTGCCGCCGCCTCGCGCCGTTAACCGCCGGAAATAGCCGACAGCCGCGGTCACGTGCCCCGCAGCCGCCCCCTGTCATTGGCTGGAGTGGGAGCGGCGCTCCTCAGCCCCTGTCACTCACAGCAACTCCAGGCCCCGCCCCCGGTAACTACCCCTCCCCGCCCCCCCGTAACTGCCCCCCCGCCCCCCCGTAACTACCCCCACCGCCCCCCGTAACTACCCTCCCCGCCCCCCCGTAACTACCCCCCCCGCCCCCCCCGTAACTACCCCCCCCCGCCCCCCCGTAACTACCCCCCCACCGCCCCCCGTAACTACCCCCCGCCCCCCCGTAACTACCCCCCGCCCCCCGTAACTACCCCCCCGCCCCCCGTAACTACCCCCCGCCACTACCCCCTCGCCCCCCCGTAACTACCCCCACCGCCCCCCCGTAACTACCCCCCCGCCCCCCCGTAACTACCCCCCGCCCCCCGTAACTACCCCTCCCCGCCCCCCCGTAACTACCCCCCACCGCCCCCCCGTAACTACCCCCGCCCCCCCCCGTAATTACCCCCCGCCCCCCGTAACTACCCCCCACCGCCCCCCCGCAACTACCCCCCCGCCCCCCGTAACTACCCCCCACCGCCCCCCCGTAACTACCCCCCCCGCCCCCCCGTAACTACCCCCCGCCCCCCCGTAACTACCCCCCGCCCCCATAACTACCCCCCCGCCCCCCGTAACTACCCCCCCACCGCCCCCCGCAACTACCCCCGCCCCCCGTAACTACCCCCCACCGCCCCCCCCGTAACTACCCCCGCCCCCCCATAACTACTTCCCGCCCCCCGTAACTACCCCCCGCCCCCCGCAACTACCCCCGCCCCCCGCAACTACCCCCCCCGCCCCCCCGTAACTACCCCCCCCGCCCCCCGTAACTACCCCCCCCCCGCCCCCCATAACTACTTCCCGCCCCCCCCGTAACTACCCCCCCGCCCCCCCCGCAACTACCCCCCGCCCCCCGCAACTACCCCCCCCCGCCCCCCGTAACTACCCCCCCCGCCCCCCCGTAACTACCACCCCCCGCCGCCCCCGTAACTACCACTCCCCCCGCCGCCCCGTAACTACCCCCCGCCCCCCATAACTACCCCCCGCCCCCCATAACTACCCCCCGCCGCCCTCCCCGAAACTGACTAGCACCAACCTCCCTCCCCTGTAACTAATTAGCCCCCCCCCCGCCCTCCCCAGAACTAACCCGCACCCCCGCCTGCCCTCCCGAAACTAACTCGCGCCCCCAGCCCGCTGCGTAACTAACCCGCCCCCCTGCCCTCCCCGAAACTAACTACCCCCCCCTTGCCCTCCCCATAACTAACTACCCCCCCTTGCCCTCCCCATAACTAACTAGCCCCCACCCCCAGCCCGCCCCGTAACTAACTAGCAACCCCCGCCCTCCCTGTAACTAGCACCCACCGCCCTCTCTGTAACTAGCACCCACCGTCCTCCCTGTAACTAGCACCCACCGCCCTCCCTGTAACTAGCACCCACCGCCCTCTCTGTAACTAGCACCCACCGCCCTCTCTGTAACTAGCACCCACCGCCCTCCCTGTAACTAGCACCCACCGCCCTCTCTGTAACTAGCACCCACCGCCCTCCCTGTAACTAGCACCCACCGCCCTCCCTGTAACTAGCACCCACCGCCCTCTCTGTAACTAGCACCCACCGCCCTGGTATGCACTCTGCTCAAATGCATATCAGGTAATTGTATAGTTCGCTTAATTGCATGAAAGATGGCCATTCGATTTCATTTACACCTGTATAATTAGCTCAAAATAATTGCATTGGTTGAGGAGTTGCCTAAATGACCACAAACAATTTGACTTGCAGTTATGGTGACTTCTATGAAGAGATATACTACGCTTACATTTTAGTAGTCACTATAAATAGTGAACGTGTGGAACAGTCTAGTGAACCCGTATAGTGACTGTCGAATAGTGAACGTGTGGAACAGTCTAGTGAACCCGTATAGTGACTGTCGAATAGTGAACGTGTGGAACAGTCTAGTGAACCCGTATAGTGACTGTCGAATAGTGAACGTGTGGAACAGTCTCGTGAACCCGTATAGTGACTGTCGAATAGTGAACGTGTGGAACAGTCTCGTGAACCCATATAGTGACTGTCGAATAGTGAACGCGTGGAACAGTCTCGTGAACCCGTATAGTGACTGTCGAATAGTGAACGTGTGGAACAGTCTCGTGAACCCGTATAGTGACTGTCGAATAGTGAACGTGTGGAACAGGCTCCCGAGGGAGATGGTTGAAGCAGGCAGTGTCGATTCTTTCAAACGCAGATTGGATCATTTTTGTTTAGGAAATAACGTTATGGGATATAGAACGTAGGTAGTTTGGGATATGTGCATGCGACCACCAGGAAGGCGTAAGGCGAAGTAGATGTACCTTGGTCTTTTTTCGTCTAGTATTTCTTATGTTCTTATGCAAACGCTGATATATACTGTGATCCTGAAGTAATAAACACAGTACAATAAATAAATACAGTAAACCTCGCAGAAGTCTGATCTGTATAAATCGTATATTTGCCTTATTGTACAAGATACATAGTCACTGCACTTTACAGTCCAGTGCTTTTGTCCTTTTGATTTGTAAAGTGCAATATTAAATGTAAGTATTGTTATTATTATCACTGCCCTGCAACTCACTGTCAGTGCCTGCAACTAGCTCACGGTTAATAGCGCCTTGAAACTAGTAATTACTGCCCTGGAATCATCGCACTGTATCCAGCACATAGCACAGCAATCACTGGAACCAGCATCCTGGAATAGCATATACCATTGAAGCACTCTGGGATACTATCCTGCTTGAGGGGCACGTTATAAATGCAAGTTGTTGTTGTTAATCCTGGTACTTGAGCTCTACACCCAGTATCCTGAATCAGTAACTTACCTATGCTCTGCAAATTCACAACCAGCATCCTGCAACTAACATAAGGACTTTACTGAGGTGGTACATAGACATGTCACCCATGAGTGTAGTAGTACACAGGAAAGAGTCGGGCAGAAGACAAGGTACCATTGCAGGAATAAAGGAACATAATAATAATAATAATAATCCTTGCATTTGATGTAGCGCTTTTCACGTCGGGAGGACGTCCTAAAGCGCTTCACAGAACACACTGTAAAGTGAATTGACTGTATATTTGTGGGCGAACGATGCAGTCAATTGCGCACAGCAATGTCCCACAAACAGTCGTAGTTTGAAAATGACCAATTTATTATTGTTTTTGGTTTTGGAGGGATTATTGGAGGGAACATCTAAACAACCAATTTCAAATTCCATCCATCCAAACGGCAGCGTTGAGACTGAATCTGAGGCCACAGTTAGAAAAGTCTGCTGGAAAACCAATCACCACTAACAGAGAGAGCCCCCATCTAGTGTAAAGTTTCCTCTCCTCTATCCCTACCTTCTTCTTACTTCCCATCCACCTCCTCCCAGTGCTCAAACGTTCTTGGGATGTCCTCCTGACTTCAAAGGCGCTATATATAAGCAATTTGTTTGTTTGTTTATTCTATCCGCATTACTTAATTTAGCCGGGGCAGCAGTCAGGGCCACAATTGACCCCAATGCTCCTAGGTTAAGGAGGAGAGAAATCACCTTGTGCCTTGCTCCTGAACACAGTCCATCCAGAATTCTGCAGTCCATGTGTTTTGCCACATGAGGATCCCAAAGCTTTTCAGCCCCAACCTCACTCAGCTCTACTGGATCCTCACCCTTAGTGGATTGAAGTCAAGATTCAACTCCCTCAACGGCCTCGCACAACCCAACCGCACCGGCAGCTCACTCAGCTAGCACTGACCAGATGGTGGGACACATCATGCAGAGTGCATCCCACCATCTGGTCAGTGTTAGCTGAGTGAGCGTCCTGATGCATCCCACCATTGATGGGTGAGCTTCCAGGCATTCTGCATACACTCTCTGAGTTCCCCCCTCCCCACCTTTAAAGCCTGCCTAATGACCAATATTTTCGCTTGCAACTTTGGTGTTTTTTCTGTCCAACCACTCCTACCCTCCTCAACTGCCCCCTACCCAGCTCAGATCCGAGTTAGCTGTACGAAGCACTTTGAGACATCCTCCTAACCTGAAAGTCGCTATATAATTAATAATAATAATAATACTACACAGCAATCCTTGCACTTGATATCGCGCCTTATCATGCTGTTGAGACGTCCCAAAGTGCTTCACAGAATTTGTATTGTAAAGTGGATTGACTGTATTTTGTGGGCAAAACGTGGCAGCCAATTGAAGACAGCAGTGTCCCACAAACAGTCGTGGATTGAGTGGCCAAATATTTTTTTTGGGGGGATGGATTATTACCCCCGGAAAGCGATCTGCCAATCAACTCACAACCGGGTTCCTATTTACTGTTGGTAAACAGAGATGTGTGGAGTAAGGAAAGTTGCCTGAGGTTTCGCCCTGCCTGGGAATCAAATCCATGGCCTCTTACTTGCGAGGCAAGTGTGTTAACCACTACGCCAACGGACTCCACAATCTAAATTGTTCTTGCTGTTTTATCGAGAGGTGGACCTGCTGTGTGTGGAGGTCTGGTGAGAACAGGATTGGGCTGCGATGGGCCTATGTTCAAATATCCTACCAATTTTCTGGGGTTGGATATCTAGAATGTACTTGTGGGAGAGGTGATTATGAAACCATCCCCCAGGGCAAATCAACACTCAAAGGAAGCAAGAACACTGGAGACGATACATGCGTTCAGAGAGGAAGAAAGAAAATCAGCGTAAATTATGGTTGTGTAGGGCATGAATGTGGCTCCCTTTTGTACTTTTCAATAATTCATTTATTTATAGAGAAGTTGTGATGTACGTAAAACCAATAATTTATTGGAGAACAATCTGCAATGAGGAGGCAGCAATAATAGTCCACATAGCTCATCACCTCCACAAGACGCCTGGTGCTCATTAAGCAGCCTGGTTGTCAAGGCTTGAAAAATGCCTCAAGACGTTGTGCAACTGCATTTATTGTTCCAGCAGTCAATTGATTCTGATTGA